GCGTTTGTATACGAATGGTATAAAGGTTGATCGCATCTCACGATTCTTTTTCTTGAACTGACGTGTGCTATTCAAGAAAATAATTTTGACAAAAAGTCCAATAGAAAGATAGAGAGAGAAAGAGAGAAATATAAAATTGTTAGTTTTTGAACGATGATAGTTTTGTTAATTATTTTTCACCATCGTCTATCAATCTGACATAATTAGAATATTTGGCAATCTATGTATATTTTTCTAAAACTGAAAAATAAATAATTAACGAATAGTTAAATTACAGCAAATTATGAATTTCCAAATTTTTATGCGTTATTCTGACTGAACAAATTATGTTACAATCTCCTGAGATGTTAAAAACAAAATTAATACATTTATCGGTCTATTTGTGAAACTAAGTTTGAAAACCGGTACATCGATGTTGCAACCGCTTGAACAACGCGACAATGGATTTAAGGTATTCCTGGCTTGCACACCTCCCACGTGGTTCTCCGCACGAGATAGTATCTCCCACGGCGCTACATCCTGTGTTATCACTTTAGTATTTCGAAAAGTAGCCTAGCCGGTAGCACCTTCAAAAATAATTTTCCGGTGATTGCAGGTGAAATAAACTGCAATTTAAACAAATTGCACGAAGAATTCAAAATAAAGAGCATCCGGTTTGCAATTCAAGTGGAATCAGCCTTAAATCACTAATAAATAATTCACGTTAATTTGTGACAATGCCTATGATTTATAAACAATATGCATTGTGTTCTTTTATTGAATGAAAAAATTTTATGCAATTAAAGTTAATTAAAATTAACCTTTAATTTCTTTTGCAAGTTTCATACATATTTCAAGAATAAAAAAGTAAAATATTATTTCAAGTATTTTGAGGGAAAAAAATCAGGGGATCCTGAAGCGAGATAACGGACCTTTGCTAAAAAGATTCTCTGAAAAGTATGAATTTTTATCTATTAATTCAGACGTTTATCCGGATTACGGTATATGCGCGCCAACAGTTTTACGTTTTATGTTTCGGCAGACGGCAAACAGACAAAGGTAAATAACATCTTTGTCTCGGTCTGTTTCAGAACTTCCAAGACACGGAGGCAGAAAAGGCAATAATGGGGTCCATCGTATACTGCATACATCACAAGGACGGTTGCAAATGGTCGGACGAGCTGAGGAAATTGAAGGTAAAGTCATCGAAAAAGAGTGCTCGTTATTACAAAATGAGAATTGTATCTCGATGGACCAACTATAAATTTAGATTTTGCTCTTATCACAGGCACACCTGAACACGTGTAAACACGATGCGATTCCTTGCGGCAATAAATGCGGGGCGATGATACCTCGCGTACTCATGGAGGATCATCTCAAGTATACCTGCGCTCAACGTAGAGCCCGTTGCGACTTTTGTGCCAAAGAATTTACCGGACACACCTTAGAGGTATAACAGCGATTCCTATAACACGTGCGAGAATTAACGACACTTGAAGCTTTCAATGACAATTGGAAAATTATTTTATTTTGTTTAAGCACACACGTTTTATTTCACTTATTTGTGTTTCTGTAATTTCAAATATTTTTAACTTTGGGAAAGGAATTTTATTAAATAAAACGGACTGTTTTTTTTTTTTTAAATTCAATTGTTACTTCTATTAGAGATTCCTTCAAGAATTATTGATTCCAGAAGGGAATTGCAATTATAAAAACACATTGTTTGCAGAAACACACAGGGACATGCGGTTACGAGCCTCTTTATTGCGAAAACAAATGCGGCATGAAGGTGCAAAGGCGACACCTCGGCCAACACAAGCTGGGAGAGTGTGCCAAGAGACTAGTCGCCTGTCGTTACTGTAACAAAGAATTCGTTTTTGATACGCTCGGCGCTCATCACGCGAAATGCGGTCGATTCCCGGTAGCATGTCCTCATCGTTGCGAAACCGCGGTGCTACCCCGAGAGGATCTCGAGGTTCACCTGAAGGATCATTGCACCACGCATCTGCTTTCCTGTACATTCAAGGACGCCGGTTGCCGCTTCAAGGTACTATTTTTTCGCATGTCATAGCTTATAAAAGGTAAATAAATTAAAAAGTATTGAAACAGGTTTATTTCTACGAAATACAATACTCGATGTTTAGAGAAATTGATACGAAGATCTGTGTCTTCTTTTTTTGTCTTTTATATATATCTATATCACGCAAATATCCTAACATCACTTTGAAATATAACTAAATATTTAATATGAAATAAAAAAAAAACATATTTACTTTATATATTTTAATTTTTCTCTGTATACATATATTTAAATTTTTCTTTAAAAAATTCGTATTTTTCTTTTTTCCAAGAATGACAAGTAAATAATAAATAATAAAAAAAACCAAATTAATAGATCGATTAATTCAATGAAGTAAATTCAAATTTTCGTAATTTTCGTAATTTAAAATGAAATTACAGCGCAATTATTAGCATGCAAAATAACAAAGTAATAATTTTACTCTTTTATTCCAAAATTACGAAGTCACTACTTTTCGATTTATTTTGGAATCTTTCTCAGCTTTGAATTACAAAATCAATAAAATTACGGTCTTGTTTCCAATCTTATTATTGTTAGTAAAATTATTATTAAAATTAGTTAAATCTGACAATATGTTGGGGTAACTTTTGACATGCAAAGAATGTACATACTAATTTCGTAATTCAATGCTGAGGACTCCAAAATGAATCGAAACGTATAATTCATTTGGATGACATTGTAAATTATGGAATAAAAGAGTAAAAATGTTACTTTATTATTTTGCATACTAGTAACTGCGTTGTACTCGTTCTGTTGGATTTTACTTTTAATTTTATCAACAGTTTATAACGAGAATTGGAATGATTTGGGAATTTAAATTATTTATAATTTATTAATTTGTTTAAATAAAACTCTTCTCTCTTATTCTCTCATTTATTATTTTTATTCTAGGAGTCTAGTAAATGTTTTATCATGATTTTTTTATAACAGGGAAATAGATTCTCGCTAGATAAACATCTGGAGGAATCCGCAAAGATGCATCTAAGTCTCATGTGCAGTTTGGTGACGAAGCAGCAACATCAAATTACGAGCTTGAAATCAGCGATTAGCAAGCTATCGTTAAATTACACGGGCACGCTTATATGGAAAATTACGGATTATGCCGCCAAGATGTCAGAAGCAAAAGCGAAGGAAGGAATGGAGCTTGTCAGTCCACCTTTTTATACTAGTCAATACGGATACAAGTTACAGGTGCGTTACATACATATGTATATATATCAGTAATCAAATTTCGTCTCGATTTTCGTTTTGACGCCCACTCTCTTGTTGCGTACTTTGTTTCAAGGTGACTCTCCACGATCAATAATACTGCTCAGTAATATATATTGAATCAGTAATACTGAAAGCGTGCATTACAATATTTTTAGTATTTTTATAACTTTGGCACACGATTTTTCTATGCATTTATATATTGTTTAGCTAGTTGGTATTAGAAGATTAAATGTTAATTCACTAAAACAATTTTCAATTTTATAGGCTTCCATTTTCTTAAACGGAAACGGGACCGGAGAAGGCAGTCATATCTCGATATACATAAAGATCCTACCTGGCGAGTATGATGCACTTCTGCGATGGCCGTTCTCACACAGCGTGTCTTTCACGATGTTCGATCAGACAGTCATCGCGGAAAAGGCTTGCAATATCGTGGAAAGCTTCATACCGGATCCAACTTGGAAGAACTTTCAGCGGCCAAGTCGCGAACCAGACTCTCTTGGTTTCGGTTTCCCAAGATTCGTTTCTCACGAGATGGTGAAGAAACGACACTTCGTCAAAGACGATACCATGTTTATTCGAGTTAAAGTGGATCCTAGTAAAATCGTAGCGGTCTGAGAGAATGCATTAACGATTCTGAAGAAACGTTAATGTTTCTGGAAACGGACATTATGTGATATTTCCGAGTATTTACTCGCTTGAGGGGACATATACGTGTAGTACTTACGTCGTTTTAAATAATGCACGGTAGTTTATTTTAAATCGACTGAAAACGTAAACTATATTGCCGCCTGTCTGCGTCGTAACAGTTTTCATTCACTCGTATTACACTTGCCAATAATTATAATAATAATTAATTTATTAACACGGCCAAATGCGTAATACATCAAAATGCATTTACATTTTTTAAATTCCTAATTTTATATATATTATACATATAAATATATTTTATTTCTGGAAAAATTTTATCATTATCTATTTTTTTTTTGTGGTATATAATCGAAGCACGCAAAAACTTAATATTAATTAATACTTATTATTATGCGATATTTTACGAGTATTTTCGCTGTCTTTCTAATAATTCTTACACAAAAATATATATTTGTGAAAAATCTAACAAACGATAATAAGACGTCTTAATTTTTCTAACGAGTGGCCTTATGATCGTGCGATTATTTTTAAGGAGAAAAAAATCAAAGATTGTTAAGGGATTGTGTGTACTGTAAGTTTAGAAAATGTAAATATAAATTTGGAATGCCATACGATAATGGACAACGAACAAGAGCAATCGAGACAATCACCGATGTAAATATGCACTTATTATATATGTATAGTGAGAAAATGTGATCGAGATATGCTAGTGAATGTATGTAACAGTATGAAAATAAGCTAGCTAATAAAAAGCGTTATATAATTGTCCTATATAAAATATTTTGTATATTTTATTCCCTGTACCTATATTATATATGATTAAATACGATTGAAATATTAGGTGAAATATTTAATATATTGAAATATTGAATATGTTCTCGATATATATATATATATATCGAGAATATATATATATAATATATATAATTGAATACAAAAATAAATTATTAAATATACAAATTTTTAGAATAATACAATTAAACATACATAAAAATTATAAAAATATTCTCTCCTCTCTCTATTTATTATGTCACAATAGTATTAATATATTTAACTAAATATTACTTTTCTTACATACTTAAACTGCCACTTCCACTGCTCTGCTGGGAATTTGCTTCAGTTGAATTTGCCTATAAAGATGCCACGCAAAAAAATCATAGATATATAAATAATTAATTATTGCAAGACCAAAAAAATTATAGCTTATACCTTAAAAGAATAGATGAGAATAATAAAACTGACAGAATTCTTGCATATACGATAAATAGATGTATAAATTTGAAAATCTATAGCCATGTACTTACAGATTGTATTCGCAACATTTGATCTAATGCATGTGGCAGCAGCGGGCGTATACCATTAATCTCCATTGCAGTGAGATGATCTAGTCTTGCATGCACTCCTTCGCTCTTCACGAAAGCATCCACAGATGTTCGTAATTTGGACATTCTTATGTCCCAAATGTCCTAAAATACAAGCATTTATATATAAATTCTATCTTTCATAAAAATACGTATATCTTCATGAAAATATGTATCTTTTGTATTAGATTCAGTTGATCCTACTCACTTTCACGGCAATTCTTATTCCATCTGCATCAGGAATATCATCGTTCGCCACATTCAGCAAAATTTGACTCTCATCCATATAATGACTGCTCGGCATCTCTGTAAACAACCTGATACATTGGAATTTTCATGAATAGGCATTTCTACATAAAATGAGTCGAATTACTCTAAAATTTTATTGAATGTAGTCGCGTTCAGCAGAATGCATATCCAAATGCTCAGACGAGATTGACAGAAAAACATGATGTCATAGCAGCTGACAAGTAATGAGAAGAAACTCTGGCGAAGGCTTACTTGGACATCTTCTCCATCTCTTTCCTCTCGTTTAGACCCTCGATGTCCATCCATTCTTGACTGACGATACGGCACTTCTGCTTCTGTTTCAAGCAGACGGCGAGCCAGATCGGCACTTTAACGGGCAAACCGGCGCGAAACGGACCCACTGAACCCGAGATTAGGTAAATTATGTCGGAGTTGAAGTTCGGTACAATACTGACCAGCTGTTTCTCACCAAGAAATTCAACCTCACTTGGATTCATGTTTTCCAAGCATCAAAACAAAAACCCACGTGTCCAGAACTGTCCCGACGCATTCCAAGTCTAGTGATTAACTCACTAACTGACTACTTGATCACAAATTCCAACGTGCTCCTCAGCAGTGTCAGCACTACTCCAGCTGACTCCGACAGACCGGCACATAAATCGAAAAAGGCGGGAACGCGCGTTGTGTGGTCGTCGCCATATTTTCCCGCCACTTGTTGCGTTTCGAACACGTAATCGTACCGGCTGATTACGTATTCCCATTTTTGTTCGACCAAAAATTTATCTTATGATAATAGGATAGAGTGAAGCTTTTTCGTCCATTTATTGCAATAATAATATTTATATTTTTGAATTAAAATAAAAATTGGATCAAAATGATAATAAATAACACACTAACTCCAGATTTTATAAGTTTTTAGTTATAGATTATAGAGAATAAAAAATCTTCAAAAATATATTATAGAATCTATCAGAATCGCGTATGTAAAGAGTTCTAAAAGAAAACATAAAATATATTTAAGAAATCTTCTCTCTCTCTTCTCTTCTTCTTCTCTCTCTTCTCTTCTTTTAAAAATTTATAAAATTATACAGAAATTCTAAAAAATGATATAAAACAACTTTCTTAAATTTTCGCCAGCTAGAAAAACTCGGGTGGTAATAAAGCATCGAATGCACATATTATAGATTACACGCACGAAGCTTTAATGACATTGATTTCGTTCGTTCGCAGTATCGCATTACACAAGGAGCTTATCATACGCTAAAAATTCACATGAGTTGTTATCCTGTTATGTATTTTCAACCGATTTAATTTTCTTATTAAATAAAATAATCATCACAATATTTCCAAGATTTCAGAATCTTGAGTTTTCAATGAAAAATAATGTCCAAATAAAAACTAGGATTCTTATACATATATAATCCTAAAATTATAAATAAAAAAATAGCACAGATATTTTTCTGAGATTTAATATAATCAACACGAAAATAAATAGTAACAAATGGCGGAAAAAAGAGAGAAAAGAAATGAGTATTAAAATAATTAACCTTATCGATCCATTCGCATATTTGTTAATTTAACATTTTTTGTGGTTTTGATTAACATATACATTTAAAGTATTTGATAGTGAACATATTTGACGAAAAAAAAAAATCCTAGTTAAAATTTCTTTACTAAAATATTATTTTTTCTTAAAGCCTGCATCAGTTCGATGTTTTGTTAAACCAAAGTTCAATTAAAATTGGTCAGTGATTAAAGTCTCGTTATCTATTAATTATTATCTTTAGAGAGCAATTCGCCGAACTTCGTTAACTTTTAATAACGGGCACGGCTGATAATTTATATTTAATAGTATCACGATACTCTTGACGATGAAACTCTTGACATTAAAATATCATTTTAATGGCTTTAGGAGATTATATTGATAATATGTATGTGCCGTATGGGCATATATATAATAATTTAGCAAACATCCTATAAGAGTAAATGGGAGGAATGGCCCATGTGATCGTCTAGTTATATGACATGTAGAGTATTGCACAAGCATTGTGTAAATATTCTATGGGAACACGCATAGGATATACATAATCACAATGTGCACTGTTCTATTATATAACATTAAATATATTTTTCCCTCCGCGTATATTTATCACTCTTGGCAATCCTGCATCAATCCTGCACACGGCATTTTATCCTCGCCAATCGATCGGAAACACGTTTCCTTCTCCTTAGATAAAAGTTTCTTTTATATCTTATCCTACCTAGATTTTATTTACAACAGATGATAGAAAATGGAAGTCGTAGACGCACCACGCTCTGGTATGCCGCTTTGTCTTTTTATTTGAAGCTTCAAATAGAGTATTACTGTCGCTCCATTTTAATATTAAATTCATTTAAGTTTACGCTAAAACATGTGTGATATCAGCTATATGGCACACTCGACGAGTAATTAATAATAAAATAAATCAGCACATCAAAGAATTTTGAAGAGAAAAAGTTCAAATGTCGTAGTTTCGTTTAAAGAATGTTCCAATTTTTTTCGCAGTTACTCTGCTAGCCACCCGCTACGTCAATTTTGTCTCGAGATTCTTCCAGAACCAGGAGACGTTCGGGAGATGCATGATTCACCACGTCTGCCTCGATCACGAAAATCGACGCGGGCGGCGTTTCCTCAATCCGGTCTTCTTCTGCGGGCAGAAGAGGTGCCAGCGACTTGTAAGTTTGCAGTTCCATTGAGGAGGAAATTCCATGATCGGTCGCATCGTCGGTACGGTCGACGATGTCGTCGTCGCTGGCTAATTCCTTCTCGCTCATCCGTTTGTTCGCGGAGTTGCCCATTAAAATCGCACTTCCAACTGTAATGCTGACGTCCGTAGTGTTCTGGAGTATTTCTTTCTGTCGGATTAACGAGACACGCCTTTCGGAGTACATACTGTCCATTCTTCTATTGCTATCAATCACCTGTGACGATCAATTAAATGAAGATATTAGATAATAACTGGCCTCATTCTTTATATCTCAATTCGGTATAATCTACAAATTTTTTTATCATAGTATATCTTTAAATAACATGATTGTTCCTTTAATATCTCTATTTGTCTATTTATATAGATTTATCTTTGAACATGTAATTACAAAAATGAAATCACACACGCACGCACCCACGCATACACATACACACGCGGCAACCTAATACTATAAATATGTAGATTTATACAACTGTATTATAGGTCAAATATCGCACCTGGCGTAGCAAGCTCGGCCTCTGACTCCTCGGTTGATCAAAGCCACTGAATCGCCTCTGAAGCTGCCTTTGCGAACCGACGAGGGAACCCCGATCGTGAATCACACTGATTACACTGGACTTGACATCGCTGTGCGGGAAAAGCAGCTTCCAGACGAAATTCTTGAGGGCGATGCGAAAATCTTTGAGATGATAGGCGTAAAGGAGCGGATTGCCGACCGAGTTGATGTGCGAAAGGATGATGCAAAACTTCATCAAGAAATCATCCACCTCGCAATGTGGGCAGAAGGCCATCACGCAGTTTATCGTATACAGCGGAAACCAGCAAACGATGAAGAAGACGACGATGCGGGAAAGATTCTGCGTGGCCTTGACTTCTCGTTTACGCGCTGCACCTAGACAACGTAGCATTGTTCCCGTCGTCTGGTGATGATTACCGCCCAAGCGGCCGCCGAGACGAAGGACGCCGAGACGGCGAACGGTACCACCGCCTCCTGGATCGCTGGGATCCATCGTGACGATTTGCTGTAGCTGTAACCGTCGTATCCGTTACTCTCTTTGGCTATATTTTTTATTATTTTTTGGTATGGTGCCTCGACAAAAATGTAAGCTAATTTAATACTACCAATTTGATACTATATCCTGGCTAAAATAAAAATAAATAGATAAAATGCAATCCCAACTTCTATGATATAAAAAGGGTCATTCAAATTTTCGCATATTGTTAAATTCGTAATAATAAGTTATATTCAATTTGAATTATTTTTAATAATTTCTACAGAATGTCTTATTCTGCAGTGCTGTTCGCACTTAAAATATTCTTAATTTAATAATGAAGTTAAACAGATGTAACTCAAGAAGCATATCAACAATCAGATGTTTTGTATTCAAATAATACGCTTTGTAAGTCACAAAACATAACAAATAATCAGTTTAAATTTGATCCTTTTATTACTGAACATTGCATATAAAAATTTTTTCAGATTTTTATACAATAATTCGAAACAATATAAAAAACTGCACTGAAGTTTGAAGATGCTAGATTGCGGACTAAGAGTAACAATTGCCGATAAAGTGTTGTATTTTTATAAGGGCGCCGCACTATTGCAATCAGACAATCTTACTTTTATGCGACTGACCTGTTTCACGATTACTCGATATATGTGAGCATAGAAAGCCGCGATCAGCAGTGCGGGGAAGATGATCGTGGCGAAGTACAGGAATACGAGGTAGTCGTAGTCCATGACGTTCGTGAAGATGCACCTGTGATCGTTCATCTCGCCGGCATTCCATCCGAACAGTGGCAGAAAGCCTACCAGAGTGCCCGCTACCCAGCATGCGCATATTATACCTAGAAACCGATCATCTTTTTCATTAATATCGTTTCTTTCAACTTCCATTGATCGCTTCACTGTCAATGAATCGACGCGCCATGCCGACGTCGCGTCGTCGCGACAACTAGATGCGTACGCTCAAATGATTCAGATAATAACTCGTTTGCGCGCATCTGTTCATCACGCATCGGTCATTCATCGCGATTAACACCGACTTCTTGCGCTCTCCTCGGTGGAAGGACATATAGTTTCTTATCGATTCGCTCGTCATTCCTGGAAACAGGCACTCCGCTGGGAAATGCACGTTATCAGGTGCAATATGTAGGAACTGACATTTCAGAATACTTTAAAGACTTTATGCAGTCTAATCAGTTTTGTACTTATCTCGAGTGATAGAAAAATTCGAAAGAAACAACAAACATTGTATGCTGATAAATTTTGTATTTATCTTGGATTAAAATGAATAATAATATAAATATTTTCTATTTACTTTTAATTTCTTAAAATCTGTTTGAACAACTTCTGAAAAATTTTATAACACTTTTAGGACATATCGACTGAATTTGTATGGACATCTATTACTTTGATTTTGCCGTGTGTTCAATAAAAAATCTAGTTTGAGAGTTAAAGCTCGCCTTTAGAAAAAGTTCTATTTTATCAGAGAACTCCACACTGATCTTAGAATTATCGTTGTATTATCACAGATATATATATAGAGCACAAATATTACAAAATAATAAAAGATATATCTAAATGTGGCTTTTCTGATAAAAATATTTGATGTTTAATATTATTATTACTTACAAAACAATGTCGAAATATTGCTCTCTTACTTCTCTTTGATTTTTTAAATTTAAGTTTGTAAGAATTCAGAATCACTCACTTCTAGTCTTGAAACAAATTACATCTTGTTGATTCT